CGTTTTTTTGTCTCATGAAAACGACATCAGATAAATGGATGAATGATTGTTGTTAGTAATTTCACAGCTATGACATGACGAGAACAAGTTACATTTGATAAACTGAGATTTGTCATTGGACCCTGCATAATTAGAAAATTTAAGTTTTTAAGTCTTTGGTCAAGTTTGGAAGGATCCTTATAAATGGGTACTATCCTTATTTATGGGTATTATACTCCAAAACGGGTATCAATTTTCAGTGATAAAAATATAAATTTTGATTTACAGATATTTCTGTCATGGCTCAAGCATTCGGGTAAAGGACAACATTTTTCTTAAAGACGCCATGGCTATAATGAGGATAAAAGTTAACAGCCTTAAAAAAGTAGGATATTTGGAGGCCATTATCTGTGTATTCAGTTCTCATTTGAACTATGGTCTTAAAGGGAAATGTTGCCATTTGTATGAATATTTGCGCCATGAGAGCTAACATGATGAAATACAAAATTTGATTTTTTATCACTGTTAATTGATACCCAATTTTGGGTATAATACCCATATCATAAATGGGGATAGTACCCATTTACGAGGATTTTTCCAAACCTGTTAGTTTCACCTGACCAGAAATCAAAATCGACCTTCCAAATGCAAGGCTAGCATGCTAACCACTACAACCAATATTAAATGTGGTTCTTTTACTTCAGACCATTGCACTTTAGCTAGTATACAGCATCGCACTTCATCGTAACAATGAACATCAACGTCACAGTTAGACCATCACAATTCAGCATAACCACCAACGCACTAGACCATCGCAATTCAACGTGTTAACCAACGCACTTCAGCGCGGTCCATCGAACTTCAGCGTGACCAGCGGGATTCGGAGTACTATCGCGGTTCAGAGTCCTACATATATATATATATATATGAAGTGATATTTCAATGTCTGTACTATTGTATATTATATATTTTTATATAAAAAAAAGAAAAGAAATATTAGTACACGTTTGGTTGTATTATGTCACACCATTTTTAATGAGTTGGTGATTTATAAAGACAATGACAAAAGTGATCCCAATATTTCAATACAGTTGGCTGATATTTGAAACTAAACCACAAAGAATAAAGTTCTTATAGGCTTGTACTTCGAAATGACAAACAATTCCAAGTTTCAACTAAAATATAATCCATGTTTTAAACAATAAAGAGCTGAGCGTATAATATGCCTGTTGCCCTTTTAGTTTTAATGATTTTTCAACGAACAAAGTCCATCATGACTCCACAATGTCATATCAGAAATTTATAAAAAAAAACAAAAGGCAGCTTATTTCAATAGATATAAACCATAGTTTCATGAATACTGCTCAAAAAGGTTTTTGAGTTCTTGTCTGAAAACTAGAAAATCCCCCTTTTCTAGGAATAAAAACTTGGAGACATTAAATCGGAAATTTATAAAAATTGAAAGAAAGCTTGCATCAATAGATATAAACAATTCACCAAAGTTTCATGCAAATTGGTGAAAGCATTTTTGAGTTCTTGTCCGAAGTGTTGACGATGGATAGACAGACGGACAACGGTATATCATAATATTTCCCGTCTTAGATGGGCATATAAAAAGTATTAACAAAATAAACTGCTTCGCTGAACACAGCTGGATACGACAGCAGAGATCCAAAACTGAACAGTTGGGGGAAAAATGGATAAAATATTCAAGCTTGATACAGGTCTGAATTTGGATTGAAATTAAATATTTGACACATTATAGGTTTCCGACACAATAAATGTAGTCAAAGAACTTGAAATTGGTTATATGATTTGAATTTATATTCAATTGAAGATTTCTTGCTGTGGTGCAATACACTGTGCTGTTGTGCAATACTTATTAAATCTGTTTTCAGACTATATATAAAGAATTAGCAAAAATAAATGCTGACCCCCAATTTTCCTTTGGAAGATTGACAATTTCTTAAATCTTGAGGAAAAAAAATAGACCCCCAAAATGATTCCCAACCTTCTACTTGTGGTATTGAACCTTGTGGTACACTTTCAGAGCAATCAAAATACTTATACACAAGTTAATGTCCTGTAACTAGAAAAATGCTTGTTTTGGGCCCCTTTTTTGGCCCCTAATTCCTAAACGGTTAGGACCATCACCCCCAAAATCAATCCCAACCTTCCTTTTGTGGTACATGTGTTTTGAACATTTAGATATAATTTCATAGAGATCCATAAACTTAAACTAAAGTTATTGTCTGGAAACCAAATGTCTTTGGACGACGACGATGACGCCAACATGATAGCAATATACGACTGCAAAAAATTGGTCGTATGAAAAACGAACTCCAAGGTAAATCCAAAAAGGGGAAAGTCCACAAAACCAGACAAAATCAAACGTTAGACTATATAAACTAACAGAACGAATGTAAAACATCTTAAAATATTCAATTGCTGTCACACTGATATTTACCTTTCCTCTCCTTCAATCATAAAATAATAAAATAAAAAGTAAATATATATATTTATTCAATATCTTATCTTCAGAATATGTACACAATAGTTATATATACATAAAACAATAAATTGCAAAATTAAATGTAAACATATTCTCAAAAAGATATCTCAAATAAACAAATAATAAGATGCATCTCATACATCAACACCTTCCCTACAAACAATAATGGTATGTGCCACATTAAAGAAAGGTTATACCATATCAGTAAAACAAGGTAACATAAGGTTACTGGACTGACCATAACAATTCACTAATATATTTAATATATTTCAGTATATAGGAAACACACTCAATACTCATGGGGATATATATTATCATGGATTCAATTAAATTATCACATTTTAATTCAGATCTGAATGCTACTTAAATTTGTTAACTTCTGACCGGCAAAGGCAACACAAACTACTGTGAAATTACTGCATGTCCAGTTGCTCTGATTCCAGGATGGTTATTTTTGAAGCGTAAATGGTTTCTTTGTTTAGACTTAGATTTTAGAGGTTTGTCAAACAGAAGAAATAAAGCAAGCAATTGTATCTTAAATATTATTCAACTGAGCTGTTCAAAAAGTCAAATATTAATAATTTATAAATAACACTTTATAATTTGTGTGCTTCCGAAGAGCTTTTTTGTTTTAACATTCCATTCCAATAACAAATGCTAAAATTTCCATAAATTTCAACATTATTTTTTTATTCAGAGTTTCTTCTAACTAGTATGGTATGACTTTTTCTTTTACTAAATACTTCTGGATTACATAATGTGGTTTGTAGATCATTTATTGTTCTGTTAGATACGAGAATGAAAAATCTTATTTCATTTATGCTAAAAGCTGATTAAACATGATTTATAAGTAATGAATCTGATTAATTTCATTTTGAATAATGTAACCTTTAATAATCAACCTCATACAAATATCTAATGAAAGTTTTAATATAAAAAAGTATAGAGAATTTAAGATATTTTGCATTCAAAACATTATATTTATTACTATATCAAAAATGCTTATTCAACCAAATTTAAAATTACCCTATATTTTGCACAAAGAAAGACAACTCCAAATTTATCTTACATTTATTGTAAACCAACTTATTTTCACAGATAATTTTTTCGCCCAAAGCCTTTTATAGAAGACTTGCTGGTGGTTTATTTACAAGATTTTCTTACTCTACTGATGTATTCATTGGACAGAAGATCCAAGTTAGACACATCCATGACCCTCTATAATTATGTTTCTTTTTACACAAGAAAGTCCCTTAAATAAATTGTGAAAATAATTGTTTACAAAAAAAAGTTACAAAAAAAGTTATGTTTACATCAACTTATATGCTTACATTAAATCATAATGTATATGTAATTTTAAACTACAAGTAAATCAAAGACTTTTAAAAACCATAAACATGAGTAATTTCGCCTTTCACCAGGTTTCAATTCATAAGAATCTAATCTTTCATGTTCTGGCAGAAAATAATACACCCCTTTTTCTAATCATATCATTTGGAATGATAAATACACTTTCCCACTAAAAGATATTTAAATAATTTTCCGTTTGAAGGTACAAATTTATAATCACCTACTTTCCAATATATGTGTAATGAACAACTTTGCAAATAATGCTGATATTGAATATGTAACCATGGTAACAGTATCTTATTTATGACATAATCCTTTTGATTCAACTTTTAAAGTCTGTAATCTAGACACAAATTTGTTTTGAAATTTGTGAAATCTACAAATGTTGTCAATGTTCTTTTAATTTTAACACATGAATATGTTGCATATAGTTTGTATTGCCAGTGAAATAATGCGGTTTAGTAGATTGGTTAGCACCTTCAACAAATGGTTCGGTTGACTGATTCATTATTGTGGCTAGAATATTCAAGTGTTCATATGAGACAATACCAACTGGCCATTTGAAAATCTATTGTATTCTGGGAAATATTTTCAAAAGTATACATCAAAACGTTCTGATTGGTTAAAAACCGTCCTAAACAATGGAAATTCAACCAATGATGTGACATTATTTTAATTTAGAACAATAAAATTACCCATAGATTAAGAAACAACTAATCAAACAAAAACAATGTGAAAGAAAAAATCCTCATATAACATTCTGAAACCTTCTAATTAGTTTCAATTAATTAACATGATTAAGCTGTTGCAAAAAAACAAAAAATACCCATAATATTTAGAAATGCTGCATGCATGGCTTTTTAAAGTTTCTACTTTTTTACTGGAAAATCTACATCAAACTACTTAAGGCAAGACAATATATTAATATATAAAAACATATAATAAAATACATAGTATCACAGACTATCAATGCATAATGAATGAAAAATTGCCACATACAAATTAGAGTTACTTCCCTTACACCACAGTTTGTTAAAAAGGTAAAATAACCGGTATGTCCTTGCTAAACTTCCCTTTAAGTTCAACACATTTTAAAAAAGTTGAAGGATGTAATTGGTTAGCTCTTTAACAGTTAGCACATTGCTTGACAACAAATTATGAATAACACTCAGAAAGTCAGAGAGGGGTATTCTGAAAGTTTAGAAATGCCAACAGCTTCAACAAGTATGAACAAATAAGTAAAATTGAAGTAAGGATTATTTTAGCATATCCAATGTTAACATCCTTCTACTATAGCGAAAATACTAAAGGATATGGTCTGCAAGGAATATCTGGTATTTGAATGTTCTGGTATCTGTTCATGAAAAACTACAAATCAGAGTATGGTTTTTTTTATATAATGTTAAAATCATAATACTTCAGCTTTGGTTTGTCAGATCTTGTGATTTGTGATTTGATCATTTGCACCTAATCAAAAATTATCCTTCACAAGCCCACTCCCAAAATAAAATGTATCTTGAACATATTTGGTGGAGTTGAAATATTAACATTAAAAAAATCGAAATTTATGTGTTTTTGAAATTTTTGTAATGAGCCAACTTTTAATATAGCCAATCATTCAATTCCTTCCGAGCCCAGGTATATGGTCCATCCTTCTAAGTCCTTCAGAGCCCAGGGATATGGTCCATCCTTCTAAGTCCTTCAGAGCCCAGGGATATGGTCCATCCTTCTAAGTCCTTAAGAGCCCAGGTATATGGTCCATCCTTCTAAGTCCTTCAGAGCCCAGGGATATTGTCCAATCCTTCTAAGTCCTTCAGAGTCAGGAATATGGTCCCATCCTTCTAAGTCAATACAGAGCCCAGGGATATGGTCCATCCTTCTAAGTCAATACAGAGCCCAGGGATATGGTCCATCCTTCTAAGTCAATACAGAGCCCAAGGAACACCTTTTAAAGCAATTTTGCTGACATCAGCAAATTTTTCATTTAAAGAATGAGAAATCAATTTTAATAATACATTATTAATATACCAATACAATCTCATATTACTTTTTCATTATTGATACTTCACGTATTTGCCATCAAGTATAAAATAAATCATTTATTGGTTGTTTACTAATTAAATCGTGACAAAATTAATATTTCCAAATAAAACCAGATGAGAGTTTGATTTGCAAATGATACAACTGTCCACTATTTTAGGTCAAAGGTCAAGAGAGTGAATATCCTACATGTCACAATACCTGGACTGTATCAGTATCCAGGTATTTATTAGTGAAATTGTTGTGTTTCAATATCAACATTTAAAGAGCTCAGAGATTTAATCAGCATCAAAAAGCTATAATGAAAAGAAATTACTTTATCATAGTATGTTGATTTAAATGTACTCTCATCATTACAATAGGTTTCTTATAAATATTAAGTGCTAAGCTTTTTCTTTTAGTATCTATGTATATTGTTTTATACTTCAGGGTAATATTCCATTTAATGATTGTGAGAGGGTAGGAAGGGAATTTCTATTTTTGTACATGGGTCATGGTTCATTGGTCATGGTTCATGGTTCAGGGGTCATTTATGGTTTTATGTTCATTTGATGTTTGCAAAATTACCCAAACAAGGTATGTTGGTTGTACGGGTCTTTGGGAGTCCCTTCTTGCCCTTTTTACAACCATTTCAATGGAACACCCCTTATAATTTCAGTTCACAGTTCACTATCTTTCTGCTTGAAATGATTACCAGTAACTCTGTATTGGAAATATTAAATCAGTATTTTCAAAATATAAAATAAATTAAATTGATACAATGCCACAAGACCACAAGCTTGAGATGGTAAATTGACCTCTAGATCAATTTTTATTTTTTTCCTTTCATTTTTTGGTTTCATCTCATGACCTTTTATTCATATTAAGTTGACCTAGAATAAGGGAGATAACTCTTAAGAATCATTGTATGTTTGTTTGAACCATTTTCATCAATACATTCTTCTAAGCAAAACAGATTATTTTAATTCTTTTTCATATGAGTGCTTAAAAAGCACCAATGAAACTGGCTTCAACAAACACATTAATGATCTGAAGGGTTATATACCTTATCCTTAAGTCTATATTTACTCAAACTAATTTTTTCATATGACATAATTAATGCACTATTGGTGATAAAGCACAGATAAAACAAAATATCACAACATAGAATAAATTACAATGTTTATTAAAGGGGAGACAACCATGTTCATATACTTTTAGATCAATCCGATGAAAACCAGGATTATTGACAGTTTATCATACATTTTAATATTAAAGGTGTGTTAATTAAATTAAATCGTGCCCCACTTGTGTCCAGTATATCTAAACTTAATTTGTTTTTGGTTAATTTTAACTACTCTCTGGCTGTACAAGTTAGGGATCTATAGGATTAGATTTGGTTAAGTCCCTTTCCCCAATCCTTATGACGGAAAAATTTGTGTGTCTTTTGAATTAACTCTTTTAATTTTTGACTGCTTAATCCCTTCTCTTTTTTTTAAATTTATAGAAGTCAATATTACCAGTAAAAGTTTAGCTGAATAGTAATTTTACATAGATATCTTTATAGCACTGTTTAAATTACTGTATATGAAAAATTACTGTAAAACACAAATACCAAAAACATAACATTAACCATAATACAATATAACAGGAAAATTTACAATAAAAATCTGAATATTTAATTCTCATACACATTGAGGGATTTCAAAACAATTCATTTTTCTTTTTGATTATAATATATAACACCTATGCATTTGTATCATTTTGATGCATAACTCTGAATGCACTAGATGTTACACCAACAGTGAATTATCTCCCTTTTAATCAGTTCATCAACAAAAAGGGGAGATAATCCCTTTCCTGGAGCTTTTCTTCCCATGGTTATGTATGCAGTAAATATGTTATTCCCCTAGGTTCTAAAAAGATGTCTTATATACAGTAATATAGCACTTTTAAGAGAAAAATCATCTGATTTCCGTCTACCTATTGATTTCAATGCATATAAATTACCTTGACCCCATAATCTTCCCATCACATAACACAGAAAAGAAGATTTTAACATATAATATGTATAATGTCATCAATAATCTGACAAAATTAAACTTTAAGCTTGATCGTAAGAAACAAATCGGTCTAAGGTCTTTAGTTCATTTTATCTTCAACTAGTACATAAAGTCAAGGGCAGATAATCTAGGTCAAATTTCTACAGAAACATTCAAAGCAATACAAAAGGTTTCCTTTGGCATGAATGAAAATTGAAAATTAACCTTGAAGGAAAAGTAATTTAACATTGACATGACTGAAGAGTCTAAAATAAAATCATATTTTTTTCTGAATAAATTCCAAAGGCATATCTAGCTGGTTTTTGTAACATGTTTGTAATAAAAATGTACATATATAATCTGGTAATGACACGTGAGAACATGTGACACGAAAATATTTGTCGCAGACTTAATTCTAATTAGTGTTGAAAAAATGAAAAATTGTCTATATTTATACATAGTTATTTCCCATAATTTAAGTAATTAAAGGATGGTTGGATAGAGGCAAAAATTCCAATAAATTAGGTTTTGTTCATAAGAACTAATATACGTGTACAGAAATTCAGTTAATACAAGTTGCATTGTTAAAGTATAAGTAAAAATGTAATCATAACAAGGTTAACTGCATCCTTATAACGTTAAATAGTACATTTGTTTTGACTGAAAAGCACTAAATGATTCGTTTGATCTTGATTGGCTGATATTCTAAACATCTCGGCATTCTGTTTTCTATGACGATATAATGCGTAGAGACTAACACAGATCATTATTCCTCACTAGAATTTGATTCTAGAATATGAGATACATTTTTTCTCGATATATTATGTGGTCATGATTAAGTTTGAGATTTCTTAAAACTCCTAGCTGACCCTGATGCTATAAGTCTGACGTTTGGTGTCTTTTCATATGTAATGCTAAATGATCTGAACGTGAAAAGCATCTATCACAAACTTTACATCGGAATGGTTTTGCACCCGTGTGTTTTCTATAATGTCTCGTCAGTTCATCTGATCGTGCAAATCTCCACTCACATCCTTCCCACGTACATTTGTATGGTTTTTCCCCTGCAAAAAATAAAACACAGAAAAAAATTAACTATATATATCATATATTGGTTTATTTTTCGTGTCATGTTTTGCTTTGTGCTGTAGAAAGTAAAACAAAAATTTCACTAAGTCAATTTTTCAGTGTCACGGCCTTCGCATTCAAACGCACAATAAATGTGCGCAGATCATATTTTTTAGTATAAAATCTGCCACAAACATGGTGAAATATTTCCACTGGAAGGAGATAAATGTGTATTTGTTCATAATCACAAAGGTTCAATGTTCGAAGGTCTCACTGTGACTTTAAAGAACAGTAATTGATGGCTATTTTTTTGTTTTTTTCAAGCGGGTGTAGTGGTTTTGTGTCATGAATCGATACACCATCACCTTTCACAATATTTTGATGTCTTTTCCTGACTGTTACTTCAACATGTATATTGCTGATAAGTTACTCTACAGTTCAGTTGTTTAAATACAGATCTTTAAAAGCTATATATTGTTAAGTTAATTTTTTCTTACTACAATAATTCAAGATTTTGACACCCACAAACAAAATTGTTTGTTATATTTCAAGTGCAAAAGACATAGTGGTGTTGCACCTCACTAATTATTTATTTTAAACCTAAAACTTATTTTAATAACCTACCTGTATGTGTCCGAAGATGTGCTTTTAAATGAGAACTTTTTGTGTAAACTTTTTTACACCCATTATATGGGCATTTGTGATTTCGTCTACGCATGTCGGGACTAACATCTGTACGAATTTTGCCATTTAAAGCTACTGGGGGTCTTTGCTGAAGTGGTTGAGCAGTGTAAGGGCGAGGTCGTCCATTGGCAGGGGCGTAGCTACCCGGAGGCACGGCAGCACGTGCATCCACGTCGTTTTCACACAAAAAAAAAGAGAAAAAAAGAAAAAAAAACAGAGAGAAAGAGGGGGACAAAGTTAACATATACAGGAATTGGTCTTTCTATGTATGCATTTTAAAAACAGCACAAAGAATAAAAGCAAGAGGAATACACATGCAGCGAAATTTTTAATCATGTAAGATATGTATGTGTACCATAAATACATACAACTGGTGTAAACTTTTTATATTATTGGCATTGTTTAGAAAATACCAGCTACATAGTTGTCGGTACCACCACCATAACGTAGACTCGCTTTGAGTGCAAAAAAAAAACATAATCCCTTTCGGGTTAACAAAAAAACTTGCAAATTATTATTTTCCGCTTTGCCCCATAGCACACATCGTACTAGAACGAAGACTCTTCAACTCGTATCTATCCAGGAATAATGACTGTTACCTTGTGAACTAGTTCAAAATTGACCAAGTATGTAGGTCTTGACAACACGAATAGTTCATTTTCACATCACGTCAACGTATTCTTGACCTGGTGTGCATCTAATATTTGCTACCGGACATTAATAACAATTCAATCAATCAATAGTTTCCGTATACTAGCAGATGAGAAGTTGGAACTGCTGTTATTATAAAAAAAAAGTACATATTTTCCAGTACATGTATTACGTTTTCATCTATTTAACAAAAAAACATCTTGTATATAGATTCGATAATTGGAAGTCGTTTCTATATGGACCGGCTATACGAATGGTTGATTGTTAAAGCATTTAAATAAATTGTTAATTTTAACTCGTTTTACTGGACTATTTGGTCATTCAATTTTATAATGAATTTTCTGTCCGAGTCGGACACTAAACTGCTGATTCTTGTTCGAAAGATACACCAAACTTTTAATACACGTATCTTCACTGTTATCATCTAGATATTGTCATACAACTGGTCGAATGCATATGTATTTGTTAATTAGCTGGATAATGAAAAAGATCGTGATCAAAGTACCATTCCCTATGAAAAAGTTCATTAATTTCAACTTCGACAATTCCTAACTGCGTAAAATTAGAAATTCATATCCCTCTGTCTTGTAGAGTTTACCCACAAAATTTTTAAACATCTAAATACATATATGTTAAGCAAAATATTGGAGAATGTGTCCACCAAGTATTTGGTATCCAATGATGTTTATGCTAAAATATTCCTTACTACGTAAAATTCGAAATTCACATCCCTCTCTTGTAGAGTTTACCCACAAAATTTTTAAACATCTAAATACATATGTTTAGCAAAATA